TTCTTGTGTTGTGTTGTTTTTTTCACAACGTTCTATACTCCGGGATGGTAAACTTTTGGGGGGGCAGGCCGGGGACACCAAGGTTTTGAAAGAAAACAACCAAGCTCAGAGAACCCCAAGGACACCAAAGTTCAACCCTGATCTACACATATTCGCTTTTATGGGGTTCACTTTAACAACCCCAGGTTTGGCAGCACCAAGGACTTCGCAAGCAGCCCGCGCACAAGCAGGGAATGCTCCTCTCTTCTCTCTTCTATTGCTCCTTCCCCTCCTCTCCAAAGAGCTGAACCGTAATCCCCCACATCTCGCCCCCTTGAAGAGCCCCCCCCACTTCTGCTCAAAGAAACGTTTCATTTTCCCCCCTTCTCCTCCGCCCGCCCCGCCAAGCCCGAGTTAATTGACTCCAAGAGTCCAGAGTCCCAGCAAAATGTCACTTCCCCCTTTCTCCGTCAGCTTCCACCGCGCGCAAGGCCAAGGCGAGGCAAAGAGCGACCCGTCCGCGAACGCCGCCGAGATCGTTCGGTGGGGAGCTCCGAGCGCTTCCCGCTCACCTTGTGCCGGAATTCCCGGGCCACCTTCCGTTCCATGACAACGGGGAGAGCGACCTTCTCGCGCCGCTGGCCTCGCGCAACCTGCCGATGCGGTTTCCTCCCGCTCCTGGGGACAGGTCAGTGAGCAGAAGTCTGGACCAACGCTAGAGGGCGCGGCGCAGCACCGTGAGAAAGGCCGGCGGACGCCAAGGAAGGTCCAGAGGGAACGGAGGCGTTCCCTTGTTCGCCTCCGTTGCCTTGACTTTTTTTTCCTTTGAAGTGCTCTAACTTCGCATTAGTTTCAGTGAATAGACATCAGCTTGACGCCGACTGACTGCCTCTGTTGCACCAGCCCGTCTTCGCTTTCCCCGACTGTGCTGTTTAAAACATCGTCACCGTTCTTTTCTCAAGCGTGAATTCTATTTCTGCCACACGCTGGTGACCATCAAGTCCTGAGAATTTGATCGAGACCTGAAGATGTTTACTTTTTTACTTTCAAAATACAGACAATACAATTTAACTGAAACTTTTAAGGTGCACAGTGGAAGTGAGTTACACATATCTGGAATTATTCCATGTAGATGATGAGGTTAGAACATGTGAAAGGTCAGTGCAGAGTTTCTCAAAGATTGTGCATGGTGGGGAGGAGACTCATGCAAGGACTCTGCTTCCTCAGCTGTTCTCATGAACCTGCTGATGTTGGAGGCTTAGATCTTTACCTTACTGTCACATAACTGGCTAAGGTTTCAGAATTTCTGAACCTGTTCTGATATTCTTTGGGTCTGTGAAGATGGACTACGTTTATAGAGTCAGGAGGGGCCACTGAAGTCATTGAATCCAACCCTGTGCTCAGTGCAGGAACTACCTCAAAGCATCTGACAAATTGTACTCCCAATGGCTTCACGTACTTTCAGGCTTCCCAGAAAGCATGCACTTAGTCCATAAAAGCCAGTGTGGTATAATCATTACAGAGCTGGGCTAGAACTAGTGTGTGTGTGTGTGTGTGAGAGAGAGAGAGAGATCCAGGTTCGAGACTCCACTTGCCTTGGGATTTACCAGGTAGGCTACACAAAATACTATGCTAGGCTACCATAAGATTGGTTAGTTTGTGGATCAACACGCTGTAGAAACTCAGCCACTGTCTTCACTTCCTGTGGGAAGCACACTACCATATTAAGCCCTAACATGGTTTATTGGTTTTGGCATGGCATATTGTGTGAATGCAACAACTATGCTGGGTTAACCTAGGCTCCATGTCAGCATGTTGTATGAACCCCGTCACTGTGAGGTTTTGTATCAGTCACTGGCCGAGTTATACAATATGCTAAGCCAAAATGTGGTTGCTTGTTATGAAAACTCAGCTAGCATAGTATCTAAACTATGGCTTTATATTATATATAATGTGCTTTAGTTATGCATAGTTAATAAAGCATGGCATAAGATGTTGTGTGAACAGAGCCAATACTTTCTAGCTCAACCTATTCCATGGAGTTGTTGTGAGAAGAAAATGAGGGGAAATCATTTTCACTTTCCAGAAGAGAGAGAGAGAGACATAAATGTCATAATGAAGGACATTACGTTGAGATGGTAATTCGTGGGCTGATTGCCTCAGAAGGGAACTATTGCAGTATGTGAGGCTGCTTTTGAAGGTGACTTGGAGACTACAACTGGTTCAAAATGTGGTGGCAGCCATGCTGGGAATCAGAGAAACCCAGCATTGGCTCCCAGGCGGCTTCTGGGTTCTGTTGAAAGGGGCTCCTGTAACAGTGTGGCCTTTGGAAGGATACATTAGGGCCAGGTATGAGTCCAAACATTATGAGACAGCTTGCTAAACATCTTGCCTCCATGGGAAAGTAAAGGGGCCTTGGACTAGGAGGTAGGGTGTAAGAACCACGGTACTCAGTTCCCAATGAAAGCAATTCTCATCAAAACCAATGCAGGTTCAAAGAAGAATTCATTTATTGGAAAAGCAGTGCACAGCTCTAAGCGATTTCTGGAACTGAGTTCCACATGTGCCAAAATTCAGTTTTACCTCCTTCCCCTTTCACCTCCCCCTTTCTGTCTTTGAGTCCTTCTTGATCATGTCGATGATTCCCTCCAGGTCTCATGCTAGTACGACCCTGGGCATTCTTGAGAACCATATAACAGTCCATCTGCGCCTAATGGTCAACCTCTCCATTTCTCCCCCCTTCCTCCCCATCACTGTAATGGCAGAAACAAAGCAAGCGAACTAGCAAGGCAGTTGATCGATGATTGCGAGGTTCTGACATAGGGCTTCTCAGGGGTGATTCCCCCTTTGTGGATTTGCTCCTAAGTTCCTTATGTTTTTGGGAAGTCCTTAAAACCATCCTGTTTCAGTTGGCCTTTGAACCTAGGATAATTGGGGGGTGTCCATCTTTTATTATTACCGTTATGATTATTTGGAATTTTTTATTTTTTTTTATTTTTTGAGGTATTCTATTTCTGGTTTTCTCATGTACTGCCCCCAGTGTCAGCCAAATTGGGAAAGTCTGCAAATGATGTAAATAAATAAGTGAATGGATTTACAGTGGTACCTCTA